AAGGGCGCCGATGATCCAGGGAGGGGGCTGGCACGAATCCGACAGCTGGTGGCGCGGCAAGCGCAATCCCCGAACCCCGACGTCATGTTCTTGGTCAGCACTTCAACCCCTTGAGGTCTCGACCCATTCCCCCGGACCGAGTCGCTTTTCGACGCTTCCGAGGCCCGGCCAGGGCCCCGAGGGGCCGAAATTGACGGAAAGCATCTCGTCACGTTTTTGTCAGGATTCCAGGCGGGGTAGGGCCGTGGGGGAGGAGGCGGAGGAGGCGGAGGAGGCGGACCCGGATGTGCCTTCCCCGCCCGCCCTGGCTGCGGCCGCCAATCGAGTGGGGCCCCTCCCCGCCCCCGGGCCGTCGAGGCCCAGGCGAGAAGCGGCGCCGCACGGGCACCCAGATAGCCGACCATCTTTCTGATGTTCCGGACTGCTTTAGTCGTGATCACGAGGAAGAGCTTCGAGCACCAACAAAGCATCGAAACTGGAGGGTTTTCACGCGTCAGGCCCTGTGGGAGACACTCGTCCGACACTGTTTCGATACTCTGTCGGCACTCTTTCGACAGTCATTCTGGGTGCTCGAAATTAAGTTATGGTTGGGATTCAGTTATGTCTGGGATGTGGTCCTCGTTCTCTCTGTCCTCTCTCTTTCCCTCGCTCTCGTTGGCCCTTTCTTCCGCCCTGCTTTCATTTCCAGTCTCCTCTCCGTTTACTTTCAAGACGTCTTTTTGGGACTTTCTGTTCTCTGCTGGGCTCGACGGTGTATTGCGCGAGAGCTCATTGCGTTCAGGGCCCGACTTTCCAACGCTGGTGTGCATTGAGCGAAAAGCTATTCTTCCAGGCGGCGCCAGGACTTCCCCGAGTCAGGAGTCGACAGCGACGCGGCGGAGAAAAAATAACGATGGGAGCAGCATGAGACCGTCTGTGCTGTTTTTTTTCCACCGCACCCGTGAGTGCCCTCCCTCCCTTTCTCTGCCCCCTCGGCGGCCGCCCTGCCTTTGCCTTCCCGCGTCCCCATTTTCTCTTGCTTCTCCGGAGAGTTCGGCTGTCGAGTTCCCCCGGCCAGTGCGAGCGCCTATGCCTATGCTCAAGGACAGTTGCTGTCGACTTTCCATCCTCATTCCGGGCATGCACAAAGAACAGTTCCGGCATTGCGAAGTTCGACTTTCCATCCTCATTCCGGGCATCCTCGACACCGCTGCTGGTCGACGAGCACCGTGTGCGGCGGGAGGACAAAACACCCGGACCGGACAATCGGCGTTTACGAAACGGCCCTGGGCGTTTACCAAACAGCCCTGCCGTGTTCGATTCCTTCTTCGGCCGCGTTTGCTGAAGGCCTCGCGTGTCGGGGTGGTGATTATCGGATTGGATGTTCTGCCCTCCATGTGCGGATTGCCTCTGCAGTGCTGCGACGGAAAACGTTTGTCAAATCTATTCTCTCGATGTCATAGATTTTGCCTTTGACTTCGATCCTCGATGTATTCCTCGAATTCCCCTCGATGGTTTCAATCGGTTTTTAGATCTCCTCGATCCAGATATCTGGGCGTTTTGCCTCGGTTTCGGCCTCTGGGGGCCGTCACTGGACCCAGGGACAAATACAAAAAGAACAACTGAAAGGCTACTCCTGGGGACGGGGTCGGCGCATCTGGGGCCGCGCATTGAAAGCACAACATCGGCGGATGCCTGGGCAGCCACTCGACTCTGGGGTCTGATCGAGGCACTTCAATCTCGTTCCATACGCGTTGCGGGGATTGTGTGGGAGGGGGGGGGCGCTTCCACCGATCATCTGGGGCCACTTGCATAGGCGCGCAGGTGTCGCGCTTTGCGGCCTGGGCTGAAGGGTTGTTCTGTGCAGCGGGCGGTGTCAGAGCGCGCATGAAGCTGCGCCTCGGACTTCGCGCAGCGCGAAACGCGATGTTGGGTGACCTCCGGAGGTCGCTGGAGGTCGCTGCAGAGACCTCGAGGCCTTGGGATGTCCCCGAGAAGGCCTCCCGAGGCCCCTGCATCTCCGGAACACCAATGACATTGCGAACCAGGACTCTGAAGGATACATGGTGAGACCGCGAAGAATGGTGAATGCATCGAATCACGGCTGCAGCTTTCGAACCACGGCTGCAGCTTTCTGAGGCGTGCCGACGTCCCATCTTGCTTTTCTCAACAGGCCTCGTTTTTGCGGGGCCCTGACAGAGACGCTCCTATCTAATGGCCTTCGGGCCATCCCGCCACCGTGCCTGGGTTGCGGGTCAGAGTTCTCAGGGGTGCTTCTTCGGGTCTCTTCGGAGCAGTTTTGGGGGCATCTTGAGGGCATCTTGGGAGCCTCTTGGGGCCCCTTGTGGCCCTCTGAGGGCCTCTTGGGGGCCTCTTGGAGCCTCCCGGGTGCCGCTCTGGGCCGAGGGCTGGAAATGTCCTTTCGGGTTCCCTCCCCATCAGGGCCCCCTCTTGGGGCCGTGTCTTGAGCCCTCCTGGGCCGTCTTGGGGCCCCTCTTGGGCCGTCTTGTGGGCCTCTTGGGGGCCGCTGGGGAGATATTGGGGGCTTCGTGTGCCATCGGGGAGCGTTGGGAAGCCGAAGCGGCGAGAACGCCCGAATCTTCCAGAAACCGAAAGAACATACATTATGCTTGCCTCCTTGGGCCTTCTTTTTTGGAGGCCTCTTGGGGCGTGTTGGAGGCCTTTGCGGGCGTCATGAGACCATCTTAGACGTCTTGGAGCGATCGTTCGGCGAGTCGAGGCCTTCTTGGACAATTTTCGGGGCCTCTTTGGGCCCTCTTGGCCCTCTCGGGAAGCCGCGATGGTACCCAGGAGAACCGCGGCAAGCCCAAGAAGACTTGGGAACTTTGGGCCTGGGCCCCTTAGAAAATCCTTCAGCACTGAGGTCTCAGGGCTCTGTGGATCAGGCAAAGCACCCGAGGACACGCCCACTCCGTGCCCAGCGGTGCGGTGGCGGATTCGCATCTATTAACAAAATTTGGCCTTCGAGACTCGATCCTGAACCGCCGCATGGGGCCCGCGGCAGGCGGCGGATAGTTATGGACTTCTTATTCTGGCCCTCGATCCTCGGAGGTGGGCTAGTTGGTTGAGGCAACGGCCGGTCTCAGGCCCAGCCCTGCAAGAGCGATTTTTGTATATCTCCCGGCGAGGACGGGGGTGGCCAGGGGGTGGGGGGGGAGGGGGCTGGTCACGTCGCGATTGGCGCCAGCGCCGTCTGGGCATGCCTGGGAATGGCTCATTCACAGACGGCGACGGCGCCGCGAATCGTGACGCGACCGGGGGGGAGGGGGGAGGGGGGGGGGCCTCGTCAAGGGCGTTATCGCGAGTAATCCAAACAATTGTTCCAGCTCCGTTCAAAATGGTCCAGTCCAGTGCCGCGGCGGCGAGAGACGCACGATAGGCGCCAGGGAGGGCCGCCGCTTCCTCGATTGGGGCTTGCTGGTCATAAAAGAGAGTATCTTGTATACCCTCTGGGCCATCACGCGTGTTACCTCCATACAGTCAATCGGCGGCCAGCCCGGGGGGGGGAAGTGGGAGGGGGCGGGCCTTCTCAGAAGGCTCGAAAGTCCCTCGGCCTTCTGAGAAGTTTCCTAAGCCTTCCCCGAAGACACGAACAATTTCTCGGATGGCGAGGTGGATTCTGAGAAGCCCCGCCGCCTTCTGAGAGTGCCGTCTCTTTTTCACTTCCCCCCTTCGCTCACCGCCGAGTCAAGATGTTTGAACAAGGACCACTTTGGGCTCAGAGGGGGTCTGGTTTTCGGGACGTTCCATAGATTTCACCGGGGAGACCCATTTGCAGCCGATGATCGCTTTAGTCAGAAAGCCCCTTCGTTCCTTATTTTGCGTTCCTTCTGGTAGCACGACCGTAACGTAACGCTGCCCTCCTCAGTACGTCCCTGGTACTGCCGCTGTGCGTCCAGCCCGCAGTCTGTCACGGTGGGGGGCGGGGGCGTAACGTTAAGCTTTCCCCCCCCTCCCCCTACAACGCGCGCAATCGGTGCGCAGGGCGGGGGCCGGGCTGCACTGCGCCCCGTCCTGCCTGCTTATTCCTCCCTCCTCCTCTCCCTTTTTGTTCCAGGAAGGCACATGTACCGATGCCGCCACCCACTCCTCGCCACCACGGCTGCTCGAGTTCGCCTCGGAACCCAGGTCCGAACGCACCCCGCGAGAGGCCCGTGGAGTCGCGGCATCGGCAGCTTCTGGCCCCCCCCGCCTCCCTTGGCCACCGGGCGCTCCGCGGCTGGGAAGACAACCGGTGTGGCCCGCAAGGTGGGAGCCAGGGCCCGCGGCCGGCCCCGTGCCCGACCACGACCCCGGTGAGGCGCGACCGCGCCCGCGCCGTGGCGGCGCTCGCGGCCGGCGCCGCGGGCAGCCCGCCGGCGCCGGCGCAGCGCCCCGCCGCCCCGACGCCGAAGCGGCGCCGCGCCGTCGCCTCGCCCGCCGCCGCGGCCCCGACGCCGAAGCGGCGCCGCGCCTCCGCGGCGGCGGGCGCCGCGGCCCCGACGCCGAAGCGGCGCCGCGCCTCCGCGGCGGCGGGCGCCGCGGCCCCGACGCCGAAGCGGCGCCGCGCCTCCGCGGCGGGCGGCTGCTGAGGCAGCGGCGGCGGGGTTCGGCATCAAATCCTCAGGAGCCTGGTGTGTCCTCGTAGGTTTCGCTTCGGTTGTGCATCAGCGTGCGCTGCAAGGTCTGGCTTTGATACAGAACACATGCTTTTCAAAAGAGGGTCGGTCGTTCCTTTGGTTTGCATGCGTTCCGCTACCTTTTTTTGGCGGCCAGCCCCCCTGGTGTTCCTTCGGACCTCCTCGATTTACTTTGAAAAAATTGGGCTTCGTTCCTTCTTTATCGGTCCTTGGGTCAGGCCGGATACTGTATCGTATGGTAGCCGATGAGGGAGCGCCGATGTGGCGTCGATTGTGGTCAATTCAGCCACGCGTAGAGTCGATTATCGTCGGTCAGAGTCGATTAGCAAAGCCAGCAACATTGCATAAGAGGCTCCCGTGAGTTGCCACCGAAGGGGAGGGTCAAAGTATCTGCAGGCTTTCCAGGCGGGGCCGCTGTAGAATGGGGTCGGAGGCTCGCGCCACATCGCTGGTGCAACGCTGATGCTGCTCGGTGTGGAGCCCGATTTTCTTCGCGCCGACGTCGCCTTTGCATCGCTGGCGTCGCCAAAGCAGTGGCGATGCGGCGCGATCCTCCGACCCCACCTGCTCGGACCCCATCCGGGAGGCCCCCAAGCGGTGCCTCTGTTTGTCTTGGAGAGCTCTCGTCGTCACGGTTGGATTCTCCTCGAAGTTCTGGTCCGAAGGCCATCGCGGGGGAGGCGGCCAGACGAGCCGCCCAGGAGGGACCCAGATCTCCGACTGCATGTAGTTCGTGCATTCGGGGCGGATTTCCTCGAGTTCGGCCCCTGGGGCGGGTCAATGCATCGGGCCACGGGGCCACCCACAGTGCATCTGGGGCGGGAGCCTGGCCCCAGGGATGGAGTCGGAAGCTTCTGGGGCCGCACTGTGAAACAAGTGAGATCGTCGGATGCCAAGGGCTGGGGGAGTTGCGGCCCCTTACCCCCATGGGGGAACCATCGGATTCGATACCCCTCCTGGAGGGACCGTCGGTACGATGGGGGCCCCTCCAGACAACCAGAGGGGTACAGAGCCGAGGTCCCTCAGCTGTGGCTGGTCGGTGCTGTGGTGTACGGTCTGGAACTCTTGGCTAGCGTACCGCTCCGCCGGTTCTGGGCCCCCCACGCTTCGGTGAGGCACGCTGTCCACTTCGCGGCCCCGAGGTGCCAACGTCTCGGCCCTTCCCCGAGCCCCCCGCCCCGCGGAGCGGAGCGACGCGCTCGATCCGCTCGCAGGGCATGTAGCGTGTCGCCGGGGCTGCGGCGGCGGCGCGCTGAGCTCGGGCTGACGCGGGGGGCGAACAGCCAAGGGCAGAGCCATGAGTCGCGGGCGATGTTTCTCCCCCAACCGCCACGAGGCAGAGCCGGTTTCGCCCGAAAAGTTTGGCCGCTCAGACAAATGGGAACACCCTGGGATACACCCCAAGGCGGCTATTCGGAAGCACCCCTCATCGAGGATGGACACCCCCCCATCGTATACCCCAGGGTTGGGCCCCAAATTCTGGTCCATTCGGAAACCCCGCGAAGCCTGGGATAGGGGTCGACATATCCCCTGTTAGTGAGCGTACCCAGGGGCGCCGACGGTCCATGCCTTCGGCCAGCCTCCCGGGCGAACCTCTGCGTGCCACGCCCCGCTCCTGGGTCGGGCGCGCCCCCTGGCGCCGCCTCCGAGGATCAATTGGAGCTCCTGACCTCGGCGCCGCCCGACGCGCGCGGTGCCGCCTCGTGGGGCCTCTGGCCGGCGGGTGTCCGCAGGCCGGCGCCGCGGCGCGCGGCGCTCGGGTGCCAGTGCCGAGGGGGGCGGCGGGCTGCGGCTCGGCGCGGCTCGGCCCGGGGCGAGAGGCGTGCCGCGGAGAGGGCCCGCCGCGAGAGTGAGCCGATGCGGCCGAGACGGCCGAAACGGCCGCAGCCGTGCCTTCCGGGGGGGGGGGGGGCGCCGTGCTCTCGGGGGAGGCGGAGGATCCGATAGGGGGCCACATGCGAACCCTGCCCCTCCCCCCCAAGATTTCTGAACCCCACCCTCCCCCTCAGAAATCGTGCGGGGGTAGGGGCAGGGTTCGCATGTGGCCCCCTATCCGAGGCGGAGATGTAACTATCCATACAACCACCGCTTGGGGAATCGTTCTTCGCGGACATCCACAGGCGGCGGATGTGGAGACAGTCGGGCCCCCGGGGGCCAACATATATTCCATATCCACCGCCCGCTGGGGCACCAGGACGTCGGTTCCCAGGCTGTGGATGTGGATGAACCCCCAGCAGGGGGGAAGGCTTCTCAGGAGCACCCCTGCTTCTTAGAAGGCGCGGGCCTGGTCTGTAGATGTAAGACCGTCACCTTCTCAGAAGCAGCCTCCTTCTAAGTAGCCTTCCCCCCTCCCACTGCCCCCTTGTGCGCGCCGCCAATGGAGGGAGGAGGGATCGGGTATCGGTGGTTCAGAGATGGGGTCCTGTGGAAGGGGGTGCTAAGGACGAGGTGCCTTAAACAGCGTAATTCCACCCCTTGGGTCCCTTCCTATCCTTACGACCCCATCCCTGAGGACCCCCCACCCCTGAGGACCTCATCTATGAACTACCGAATGTATAGCCAGGGCACTGGCAAGGGGAACCGCTTGGTGCTATAGGACCCCGACGCCAACATATATATATATATATATATATATATATGTGTGCGGGCATCATTAGTCCAGGTCTGCCGTCGCTTTTGCATTTCTGGTGGTGGCAGTTCTGGTCAGTGGAATTCGGCGGGGGAGGCGTCCCGAAAGCACACATCACTAAACCGGCTCCCACTAAACCCAGTCCTGGGGTGAGAGAGGAGAGAAGGGGGAGGGGAGGAGTAGGATGAGAATAGCAGCGGAGGAGGCGGATAAGGATATGAAAGAGGAATACGTGGAGGAGGAGTAGGAGGAGGCGCAGAAGGAGGAGGAGGAGGAGAAGAAAGGGGAGGAGGAGCAGGCGGAGGAGAAGGAGGAGGAGAAGAAGGAGGAGGAGGAGGAGGAGAAGAAGGAGGGTGATGCGGAGAGGGAGCTGGAGCGGCAGCATCAGGGTGAGGAGGAAAGGGGGAAGGAGGAATAGGATAGCGTAGATGGGGCGAAGGCTTTGGAGGACGAGGAAGAGAACGGTGAGGAGGAGGAGGGGGAGGAGGAGAGCTGCAAGGCCATTGCTTCTAGGTGATGAATTGCGAGTTTCTGTCAATCGCATTGGGGATTTGGCGAGCACAGCCTAGCTGTGCTGTCGACAGGTCGTTAGTTCTCGTGCACCCCTCTTGGGCTGAAGGTACTCGGCGCGTTGCCCAAGTACGGATTATGGCACACGTGTGTGATTGGATCACACATTCGTTTTGCAGTGTCTTTGAGGGCAGCCAGAGACACTTCTTTGTTGACGATGGCAGCTGCACGACCAGAGCATGTATCTGTGCCATGGTCTTGTCTTCTGCAGTGCCCAACACTGTGATTGTTGCTTGCCTCTGGGGCTAGTCAAGCGTGCAGTTCGACAGGGTGTTGCAACGCTGTCTGTGTGGTACGAACAAACAAAGCGAGGATCGATACGTTGTTCATTATTCCTTGCGGCATCACCATTACAGACGTCATCAAGCATTAAATCAAGTTTTCTTACCACTACCGTCAGCACCACTTCAGCACGAGTGTGCTGTGACATACGGCCGTTGCTATGCCGCGGGCCTCAGATCGATAACGAGTTGTTGTGCGGTGCCTGCCAGATGCGAGTCTCTCTCGCTCTATGTGTGTATGTAGATGTACTGGATTGTGACAGGCCTGTATGTGTTGTCTTCATGTATATGAAGTAGAGTGTGCGGTGCTGTCGGCGCTTGTTCAGCTCATGACTCAGATTTGCAACTCTTGTGTTTCGCGGCCACAGGAAGGAGCCATAACACCGCCACGACACCCTCACTGCACTCACTTACGACGTAACCTCGACATTGCAGGACCACGACGCCACGATGCAACCACCGTCTGGAGTAGCAGCAGCAGGACGAATATAATGCGCAGACAGAGGGACATTGCAGCTCCAGCACAGGTCCGCATGCACGCATGTCACGCACACCCACGGGAAGCGCAGCGCGAGCACGACACGCGATCTTCCAATTGGGGTATCACAGAGACCGTGCGTCTTCGCGCCTCCGACGTAGACGTGGGCAGTCAAGAGACAAACATCGTGCTAGCTTATGTGATCTGTAGAGCTCGTTTTCGATGATCCTCTGTTGATAACTGGCGTTGCCGTTTTGGGGGGCGCCCTCGGTGCTCTTGAACGCGCGGTAGGGTAGATGGGATCATTCGTATCTGCGGGACTGCTAGAGATAGCTAGAAGTATCTGGTGAAATTCGTCAGATCAATAATGGGTACCCAGGGGACGTGAAAAAGAGTTGAAGATTGCTAGGGCTAGCAAGGAGGCGCATACCGCGTCGTTGACAGGCAGCCTGGACACACAAGCATTTTGTGGCGCTCGCATCGCGTTGCTCCAAAGCGTTCAATGGTGCTCGCACTCGATACGTGGTGTTCACAGGCATGCGCACGAGGACGACGTCTTACGAGGTCGGCAGCCTCTTGCCCCGGGGCTAGGGTTGACGGGACCCCTCCTGGAGGTTCCCTGGTCAGTCTCTTTCATCTTCCTCCTTCTGCTCCTCCTCCTCCTCGCCCCCCTCATCCCTCCTCATCATCTTTCCTCGTCCGCCTCATCCGCCCCTGTCCAGCACCGTCGCCGCCCGGGATGCGAAGGTCGTGGCGCATCGCGCCCCGCGCCGTTGGGAGGGGGGGGGGCAGTCTTGCTCTGGGCCGGCGGCGCGAGGGCGCGACAGCAACCGCGGCCTGGGCGCCTGGCCGCCTGCCCGCGCCCGTTTCCCGTGGACTCCACGTGGCCGGGCCTCCTTCCTCCCGCCTCCGCCCCCGCGGCCCCTCTCTCTGCCGTTCCTCCCGCTCCGCTCCAGCGCGCCCAGTCCCAGCGCGGCCCGCGGGCTCTGCAGTCGCGCGCGCGTCCGCCAGCGCTGGCGAGAACAAAATCACCAGACAGCTCGCCCCTTGGCCCCCCGCCAGCCCCACGCAAAAGGGCGAGCATATATACGGGCGCAGCACCGCGCTGGATGCGTAGCCGTCGGCTGGGCCAACCAAGCGAATGACGCATCGCGTGGCGGCTGGATGCCCGCGCCGAGCACAGATATTCTCGGTTCCTCCCTCCTTCTCCTCCTCCTCCGCGGGCTTAAAACTGCCATCGAAATATCCTCACCCGCTGGCTTAAAACTACCACCGAAATATCCTCACCCGCGGGCTTAAAACTGCCACCGAAATATCCTCACCCGCTGGATCAAAGCAGCCACAGGAATATCCTCACCCGCTGGCTTAAAACTGCAACCGACATCCTCACCCCCGGAAGTGAAACTGCCACCGAAATATCCTCACCCGCTGGCTTAAAACTGCCACCGAAATATCCTCAACCGCCGGCTTAAAACTGCCACCGAAATATCCTCACCCACTGGCTTAAAACTGAGACCGAAATTTCCTAGCCTGCTGGCTTAAAACTGCCACCGGAATATCCTCACCCGCGGAAGTAAAACTGCCACCGAAATATCCTCACCCGCTTTCTTAAAGCCGCCACCGAAATATCCTCACCTGCTGGCTTAAAACTGCCACCGAAATTTCCTCACCCGCTGGCTTGAAACTGCCACCGGAATATCCTCACCCGCTGAAATAAAACTGCCACCGAAATATCCTCACCTGCTGGCTTAAAACTGTCACCGCTCGA